CCAGTATCCGACACCCCCACCCCGACCTCCCCAGCGCCTTTCACTTCCCCGCCGGCTACCCTAGAGCCCAGCAGCACCACCCCAACCTCCCCAGCGCCCACTGTCAGCCCAGTGTGCACCCCGCTAGCCTCTCCAGAGTCTAGCCCAACTGAGACCAACTTACTGCTCTTCACCACAGAAGTCACCCCACTCCCCACCTTAGCATCCACCACAGCAACCCCGGACTGGAACAGCCTCCTCAACTTCCAAATGATGGCTCAAACAAATTCTGACACCCCCAAAAACGAGCCTTTTCTCCATTCCGACTTTTGCTGCCTCCTCCCGCTGGGCTCCTATATTCTGGGTCTTCTCTGGCTCCTGTCTGCCTGCGTGGTGCTCGCCCTGCTGCTGACCTGGATCTGGCAGGTGAAGCCACACTCTCTGGCCTCGGGCCAGAGTGAGTCCACAAGGACACACACTGCCAGTGTGGAGGTGCAAAGGGCAAGGCAAGTGACCGTGCCCCGGGCCGGGCTGCTCTTCCTGCAGGGGTCTCTCCCCACCTTCCGTTCTAGTCTTTCCCTGTGGGTGAGGCCTAACAGGCGCGTGGGGCCTCTTGTCGCAGGACGACGGCCCTCAGCTCTGAGTCAGGGTCGTGGTGAGGACCTCCTGGGCACAGTGGCCGTGAGATACTCAGGCCACAGCCTGTGAGGCTGCCAGACTTCAGTGGACTCCCGGGACCTAGCTGGGTGGGGCTGGACGTCACAGAAGCGCCTACTTACTTCTCCTTTGCCTGAAGGCCCCTCCTCACCTCCAGGCACTCAAACCCAGACCTCATAAACCAAGAGGCCAGGAGGTGAGGAGCCTTTGGCCTAGAACGCTGCTAGGCCACAGGCCCACTGCTACCTTTGGGGAAAACGAGGCAGAAAAGCGACAGAAACAGTGCGGGCTCCCGTCGGCTCACACTTGGAAGAAAACCGGGAGACGTTAGTATGGAGGCACTCTCCCTACCTATCAGCTCACCTCTTCCCTGTTTGACACTCTGGTTCCCACCAGCATTACTGTTTGTATAATAAAAAAATTTTAAATGAAAATGTACCTTTTTTTGCAGAGATTGAAATGTCTGAAGCACCTGTTAAAAGAATTCCCAAAGTCCCAACTGCCCTATCCTCTATTGTAGCTGAGGGTGGGAAGGTAGAAGGGCACTTCCTCTGCCTTGGCAATTCTTCTGTGGGGGTCAGGTACCCACCAGGCTACCCAAGCAGCAACTCCAGAACAGAAAACGTCCTAGAGCCAAGGGGCAGGGCTAGAGCCTGCTTCCTGCAGCCCGCAGCTGGGCAGTCCTCGGACCCACAGCCTCCAGAACACAACTGTACAATCGGGAAAGATGTGTCTATCGGGTTTGACTGGAGAGTGTCAGGTCTGTTTTCAAAGCCGGACGTTAACAGCAACTCCCACCCCCACCCCGATCAACTCTGCCACTTGTTAACCTCGTAGTGTGGGCTTCTTCCATGCCTCAGTCCAGTTCGATCCAGGGGTTGGGCCCAAATGAGGGAAGGCAGGCTGCATTTCTCTGGCTCTACTGACTGCCTTTTCCAGATGGCTCAAGACCTGCCCATGCCTGACTGAATCTCTTTCCTGCCATGAACTCTTCCTTCCAGGTACAGGACAAGCCTTAGAGGTGAGGCATCAAGGGCTTCATGAAGCCGCCCACTCGCCAGCGCAGCTGCTGCTCGCATGGCGCTGGCTTGAACCACTGCAACCATCTGCAGGCCACCTGTGCCTGCAGTGGTCCTCCTCTACCTCTCTGCTACCATCAACAAGTCTCTCCTGAGGTGGGCAGCGTGCAGTCCTCTGCTACAGCCATTCCCAAACGTCCCTGCCATCTTCTTGCTGGACTTTATAAGCTCCTTACGGTGCGGGCTTCAAACGTGTCCACGCAGCCACCTCTCGTAGCCTAGGACACAGTGTGCATGGAAGGCTTGGGGAGGCAGCAGCAGGGGCGCCAGAGTGCCGCAACACCATCTTTCCCTGTTAGGGCTCTGCCAAGGGGCAGCTCGCACCTGCTGCCTGCCTGTTCTCTGGCTTGGCATGCCGTCCTCACCGCCTAGCTCTCCTCTTGGTTTGACCTTCCCGAAGCTCCTTATGCTCCAAGAAGTTTGCAAGATTATGGAGGGCTTGGGAATCACACTTAAGAGATAAATGGGGGAAAAGTCACTTTCCCCAGGCAATCCAGTTTCTGATCAATATTCCTTCTTGCCCAAATCCTGGGGTTTGACTCCAGTGTGTACCCTCAAGAGCACTGGGCCCCTCTCTCAAGCTCAATGGCCCCAGCACACAGAAGTCAAAATCAGCTTTGGGGTTTTTTTTGTTTGTTTTGATTTTTTCAAAACAGGACTTCTTTCTATGGTCCCAGCTGTCCTGGAACTCACTTTGTGGACCAGGCTGATCTTGAACTCAGAAATCTGCCTGCCTCTGCCTCCTGGGTGCTGGGATAAAAGGCATATACCACTATACCCCACTTCCAATTAAGACTTGTTATACCCTCCCTCTTTTTGCTGAAAGGGCAGAACTGATATGATCTGTGACTCGGCTGTACTTCTGGGCAAATGGCTTGCACAAGGGCCAGTTTTTTTCTTCTGTCAGCTGCTGAGGTATGACTTACTTAGGTATCATTTTCATAAAACCAGTAGGTGATTTTCTTTAATGGTTTTTGTTAAAAACTCCAGTTTGTTTTCCAGACATCAGCTTCTTCGTGCAGTCAGCTCCCCCTACGGTCCTCAAGATGATCCAGAGTTGGGGTTGGTGTTATCAATCAATTTATTGATTAAGTCCTTGGGAGGAGGAAGGCCACATCCTTCCACCACAGACCCTTTGGACACCTTGATGGCTTCTGCTCTCTCCTGTCTCCTCAGCTCTGCTTTGGTTTCCCCAGAAAGAGGGATCTGCTGTCTTGCACACCCTGAAACTAACACCCAAGAGGAGACCAGAAATCCTCAGAGGGTTTCTTAGGTGACCCCAGGAACGGCCAGGGACAGAATGAGCCTAAGCATCAGGCCAAGCATGGCAAGCTGGAGGAGGGGGTAGAACAGAGTAGAGTTCTTTACTGCAAAGGAGGAAACCACACTGTGGAGGGAAATAAATAGAGAAGCCCAGGGCAGCAGAGTCCAGGCCCCAGGGCACAGCGAGTGTAGCAGCAGTGGGTGACTTGGGAACCCTGGCACACCAGTCCCAGGGCTTTGCCACGTCAGCCACTGAGGAAGAGACGCTTGTAGGCCTTGTTCATCTGTTCCAAGAAGATGAAGGTGAGGACAGTGTGGGGCCCCAGTCGGGCATAGTACGGTGTGAAGCCCTTCCACAGGCTGAAGAAACCCTCATAGCGGACCACTTTCAACAGCACGTCCTAGACAGACAGGCAGGCAAGTGCTGGGACTGGAACCTGGCCTCTGGGACTCTGTCCCCTATACCCAGACCCTTCCTCTCCCTCCCCGGGCAACCCAGCACACTCTGACCCAAGCTCCCCAGCCCTGCCTCCTCACCAGCCCATTCTTGTATTCTGGCTTCCCGTCAATCATCCGCATATTCTGGATCCTGAAGGAGAACGAATGAGCATGGAGAACAGAAGGAGGCCTCCTCACAGCTCTCCGGTTCTGGGCTATAGACTCACCTAGTTTTCACAATGTCCACAGGCATGGAAGCCGCAGTGGTGACGAGACCACTGATCATACTGGCACAGAAGTGGCACAGAATATTGTCAGAGAAGTAGCCTGGGAGTTAAAGAAGGCATCAGTCAACCCTCGGGTGGCTCAGGCCAGGCGGGGCTCTGGGTGCTGAGCTCTGACTCCCTCACCTGAGTCCAGTAGGAACTGCTTGGATTGGGAGTAGGAGGCGAGCTGGGCGGCATTGACAACAACGGCTCGAGCCATGGTGGGGATGCAGCCCTGGAGGCAGGAGACAGAGTCAGAACTGCTGGAGATCTGGCCTGCAGGCCCCGAGCGCCAGCCTCTGCGCTCACCCGCCACAGCGTGGGGACTCCCTCTTCTCTGGCAATCCGAAGGAGAGCGTCAAACACGTTTTTGTAGCCTCTGCGCTGGTCAGCTGGAAGCCTGGGGGAAGGGCAGGGAAAAGCAAGATCAGGATAGCCCAGGGTTCACAGGAACAAAGAAAGGGAGGCTTGACCAGGAACGCGCCCTGCTGTAGATGGGGGCTAAGGACAGTAACGAAGGTCCCTAGGTTTGAGGCATGGGGACGCCGCGAGGCCTGGAACTCACCGGCCGTCAGCGGTCATCCTGATGAGAGCCACCTCTGCTGGTGTCCCAACAAACGCACCAGTTGCACCTGCGGTCATCCCGATGAGGGCTTTCAGGAGAAAGCCAGGCGGTGTCCCATCAGCCCCAGTCAGGCGCTCAAACAGCACGGTGTAGATGCCAAGGCGAGTGGTGGTGTAGGTGGCCTGGCGCAGCAGGCCAGCTGACAGCCTGAGGAGCAGAGTGTCAGCACGGGCCCAAGGCCTGCCAGCCAACAGCCTCCCTCCCGGCTTGAGGCCTCAGTACCCAGTGTAGATGCCCTTCAGCCCTTCTGCCTTCAGGATGCTGGTGAGGGCGTGGAAACTGGTTTTGTACTCTCGAGTCTTGGCCCCTTCGCCACTCAGCTGCATCCGGTTCTTCACCAGGTCCAGGGGCTGCACGAAAACTGTAGCTCCCATCCTGAAGAAAAGAGGAAAGGATGCAGAGGTCAGCTGCTCCAGCTCTGTCAGTGTCTACTGCAACCTGCAGGCAAGAAGTTTCGAAGGTCAGGGCCTGACATGCAGCTAAGGATTCAGGAGGCCGGTGGCACGTGTGAGCGTGAAGGGCCATGTGCCAGAAAAGTCCACTTGTCCAGTGAAGACCATGCAACTCAAAATGCTTCAGGCAGCCCCTTCCTTAGGGTCCAAGCAGAACCAGGACTACAGGCTAAAGAAGAGCGGAGACGGGCATCCACAACCTTAGGACTCCAAGCAGGTCGACACTCAAAGCCTTCAGGGACTTAGACCCGCCACCCAAACAGGCACAGCGAAGCAATGATGGTGGAAACACCGGGCAGTGGCCCTTGAACGCAGCCCAGGAGGGCCCCTGCAATGGGTGAGTAGATCGTGGCAGCCCATCAGGGACCCCGCACCGGCTCGATTTACTGCAACATACCCCTGAGACGCACTGGGCCCCGCTGCTTGCTCCCGTCCCTTCCTCCTTTTTCCCATCCCTGGGGCCTGGGCTTACCCAGCCAGGCCCCCAAACAGGAACTTGACCGACTTAGGGGAGGTACGGGGCTTCCCGTCCATCTGGCCAGTCCCGGGACTCGCCGTCGCCGCCATCGCCCCTTGATGGCCCTCGGCTTTGGGTCCAGCGCACACGCAGACCCGCTCAAGCCCAAGGTGACACCAGCACGCAACAGGCCGAGGGCGCGCGCGCACACCCCTCCAACAGGCAAGTCTAGCTCCCGCAAGAGGCCGGGGCGGGCGCAGGCGCGTGGCGCAAAGGCGGCCGGGAGCAAGGCGGGGCTTGCTGCGTGGGGGGAAGGGGCGTGGCCGAGCTAGGACGCTACCTTGTAGTTCCCGCCCCTCCCGAATTGGAACCGCGGGAAAATAATTCGTACACAAATCTCGCGAGAGCAGGCGAGTCCGCCGAGTTCGGGCCGGGGGCCTCTCGCGATAGGTTTCAGCAGCGGGGGTGGGGCGTGTGCGCACTCTCGCGATACTTGAACGTGCCGCGGCGGCCGGACGGAGGAGAGGTTGGTAAACAGGGCAGCTCCGAGACGGCGGGCACGGAGGGCAGCAGCTCGCCTCCTGGACGTCGGAGCTCCCTCCGGCCCCGCAGGCGCGCTCTCCGCGTCGAGCACGCCCTCCCACCGGCCTTTGGGGCCGGAAGTCCGTCCTGAGCGGCCAATACCGGCGGCGGCCTCTCCTGGCCGGAAACCCTTTCCTGGGGCTGGGAAGACGGCCTACCTGGCCGGAAGTCCCACCTCTTCGAGGTTCCCCCGCCCTCCAGAAGTTTTTCTGGTACCTGTTTGCCTTCGTTTCTGGTCTCCGCTCTAGTTGTGTCCCAGAGAAAGATACGTTGTCTCCCCCCCGGCTCCACCGAGCTGCCTTGAGAGCTCACTTCCCGAGTGGGAGCCCCTTCCCCGACGTCCTCATGTAGTTGAGAAGTGGGACCGGGGGTGGTTGGACCCCTGGGATCCTGAAGGTTAGGGCGCAGAACTCGGCTTCCGCTCCTGCTGTCAGGACGCCACCTCCGAGCTACCCCTCCCGCTGCCATGCACCCCGCGGCCTTCCCGCTTCCTGTTGTTGTGGCTACCGTGCTGTGGGGAGCAGCCCCTATCCGAGGGCTTATTCGAGCGGTGAGTCTGCCGGGCTGGTGGGGGAAGGGTGCTGAGGAGGGGTCAGGCTGAAGACAAAAATGGACTGTTTTGTCTGCAGACCTCAGAGCACAATGCCAGCATGGACTTTGCAGACCTCCCAGCCCTATTTGGGGCCGCCCTGAGCGAGGAGGGACTCCAGGTGATACTTCCTCCGTTTCCCTATAGTTAGCCTGTGCGGGGTAGTCGGAAATAGTCGAGTTAGCAACGGAATTCTTCGGGCTGTGGAAATAGCTCAGTGGTAGGCTGCTTACCAAGCATAAGTGAGATTCTCGTTGAATCTCCTGCAACACAACGAGCGTCAAAAACAAAACAAAAACCTAAGTTCATAGTCCAGCATCTAAAGGTGAAAGGCAGTGTCCACGCTTCGAACTCCCAAGTTGAAGAGGGAGGCTGAGAGTGGGTTAAGATAAAAAGCAGGTGTTTATCAGTAGTGCCTCTGGAGCTGCTTGTTTGTATGGCTGTGCACAGCCTTTTGTAGATTCTGAGTAAAACGGGTAATAGAAATAAACTTACTGCTGTTGTGTCAACAAGTGAGATAAGCATGCCTGTAGTAACTCATTAGAAAGCTCTGGCCACACAGCAAGAACTATGCAGTTGTTTGCAAAAGAAGCAATTGAAAATGAAACAAATTGACTGTTACATACTTGAAAGACAAATGTGAAAAAACTTAGTGAAAATGACATGAATGAGTAGCCAGCTGAACTGTTATCAGTGGGAAACTGAAAAGCAGGGTTAAACTAGCCTAGAACTTGAGAAGGAGTCTCTCTAAAAGAACTCACTGTGTAGACCAGGCTGGCCTTCAAGTAGACTTGTCTGCCTGCTGTGTTCTAAGTGCTGGAATGAAATGCACGTACCAGCAGGCCTGCCTGAGATGTAGTTTGGGTGGGCTGCTCAGACTGAGAGTGAGAGCACAGGTCACGTGTGTAGTGTTGTGTTGGGTAGGCCCTGTGGGAGAACTAAAGGTGAAAAGCCCAACTGTTGGCCTTCCTCCCTCAGGGGTTCCTTGTGGAGGCCCACCCAGAAAATGCCTGCAGCCCCATTGCCCCTCCACCCTCCGCCCCAGTCAACGGCTCAGTCTTTATCGCACTGCTTCGGAGATTTGACTGCAACTTTGACCTCAAGGTTGCTAAATGGGGAACGGGAGCTGGTAAAGAGGGTGAATGGCGGGAGGGCTGAAGAAAGGCATGGTTTACACTCTGGCCCCCGCTCTGTGCCTTCAGGTCCTGAACGCTCAGAAGGCTGGCTATGGGGCAGCTGTGGTGCACAACGTCAACTCCAATGAGCTGCTGAACATGGTGTGGAATAGTGGTGAGGCTGGAGGAGGCCACGCCACCGGGTGCCGTGCAGTGGGAGGACTGGCAAAGTGGCAGAAGCCACTTCCAGGGAGTGAGGAAGGGAAGGCTAAACCCTGACTCTGTTCCCCGCAGAGGAAATCCAACAGCAGATATGGATCCCATCTGTGTTTATTGGAGAGAGAAGCGCAGAGTACCTCCGAGCCCTCTTTGTCTATGAGAAGGGGTAGGACACGTGCCTGCTTTCCATTCTTCCCTCCCTGTTCCTTGCCAGCCTGGAGCCCAAGCCTTACCAGGCCCAGGGCCTTCCTTGCGTCGTCTTTCTCCTCATTGATGCCTTGTCCCAAGCCTGGCCTGAGGCTCGTCTTTCTTTCCTCAGGGCCCGGGTGCTTCTGGTTCCAGACAGTAGCTTCCCCTTGGGCTATTACCTCATTCCTTTCACTGGGATTGTAGGACTGCTGGTTTTGGCCATGGGAGCAGTACTGGTAAGCAGAGGACAGAGTTTATAAGGCCATACTGATCTGGAGATGGGAGGATTTTCCAGCTTTTTCTTAAACCCGGTTTGCTCCCTCACTCCTAGATAGTTCGTTGTATCCAGCACCGGAAAAGACTCCAGCGGAATCGACTTACCAAAGAGCAGCTGAAACAGATTCCTACGCATGACTATCAAAAAGGTAAGGCACAGGTAGGGGACCTTTCTCATAGCTGGCCTCATCTTGAAGGAGTTTTAAGCCTAGTGAATAGAGGGTATGGAGATCAGGAAAGATGCCACCTTTGCTTGCCTTTTACCCACCAGCAAAGGAGGTGGAAAGATGAACAAGTGCATTTTTGACCTTGTGTACGGGGCTGTGGAAAGAGAAAGAGAGAGAGTCAGGAGGACTCAGAGCAGGTGAGGGTTGGCTTACGGAGCCCAGAGCCTCCAGGACCATATAAGGTTATAGCAAAAGCCTTGCCCCCCCCACTTCTGCTTCCCCCCCCCCCCAACCCACTTCCCTTATCTGCGCCAAGGTCTTCAAAATCAGTTTTATAGGTTTTAGTCCTTTCTGAGTGGCTCAGTGAGTCCTTTCCTTCTCCAGGAGATCAGTATGATGTCTGTGCAATCTGTCTGGATGAGTATGAGGACGGGGACAAGCTCAGAGTGCTTCCCTGTGCACATGGTAAGGCTACGCACTACCTGTATCCACACCTATGGTCCTGCCTGCGGTGACCAGGCGCTTCACGTGTTCATCTCCACAGCTTACCACAGTCGCTGTGTGGACCCCTGGCTCACTCAGACCCGGAAGACCTGCCCTATTTGCAAACAGCCTGTCCATCGGGGACCTGGGGATGAGGAGCAGGAAGAAACTCAAGGGCAAGAGGAAGGTGATGAAGGGGAGCCGAGGGACCAACCTGCCTCAGAATGGACCCCGCTCCTGGGCTCTAGCCCTACTGTTCCCACTTCCTTTGGATCCCTAGCCCCAGCCCCCCCCAGTCTTTCCTGGGCCTTCCACAGATCCCCCACCTTCTCCTTCATCTGCTGCCCTGGCCTGATACTCCCAAACTGGTCACCTCTGGTGACCTATTTGCACACTGTTATCCAGTCTAATAAGCTGAGGGATAGGGGACATTTCCACTCCAGATTCTTGAGCCTCTTTCTGTTGAGGAGCTGGGAGCCATAGGGACATGGTCTTCACTTCTTCGGTTAATAAAACTGTTTTGTTTTTTTTTTTTCTTCTGTGGATGAAGGTTAAGATCATTTTTACGCAGGTGAAGTTCTAGAAAAGAATCACATGGAAGATTAACTTGCCAGGGGGAAAGCCCCAGCTGCAAGTTTGCTGTGACTCAGGGAGGGGAGGGGCCCACATGATGACTCAGGTGGCCCTGCCTCACCCGGAGGCTTGGACCATTCTCTGGCCTGGATGGCTGTGCTGTGTTCCATTACAAACTCAGCTGGGCTGCAATGGAAATGTCCCTGTAGAGGGCCCTAGGCTGCCTGCCTGCCTTAGCACATGGCAGAACATCCTAGTCCTGGGGCCTGAGAAGAGCAGAATAATGGGACATGATACAAAGGGTTCAGGCTGGACACAGCCAAGAATTACACTCACTGAAGGTGGGTAGCAGTGCCTGTTGCCATCTATGCCCCAATCCCAAACCACACAGAACCTTGTTAGTAGAATCTTTTTTTATTCAGAAAAAGAAAAAAAAAAAAAAGGACAAAAAATTTTCCAAACACACACAGGAGGGGTATGGGTAGGGGGAGGTATCTGTCCATCCAGCCCCAGCCCCCTGCCCATGTGGTTTTGGCAGCAATAAGGGAAATGGGGTAATGGCCCAAAAAATAATGGTGTGTGTGTGGAAAGAGGGGGTGCAAAAGCTGTAGGGAGTGGTGGGGGAGGGGCAGATGAGGTCAGTACTGGGAACGCCGCAGGTGATTGGCCATTTCGTAACATTTCTTGTTGATCAAACCACCATGGACACCTTCTTTGCCCATCAGCAGGACTAGCGCTGGAGGAAAGAGAAAGGAGGCTAGGACCCAGGTGTTACAATTCAACCCTGCCAGCTGTTGAGCAGCTGTCCAGCCCCGGGGGCTGTAACCTAACCTCGGCCCTCCCTCCTCTCACACACGCAGGCTGTCAGTCACCCTAAGACAATAGAGCTTTTCAATGGAGGAGGAAAAAAAAAAAATCAAGCTTAACTGTGCCTAGGCGCTGCTGTGGATGAGCTTACTACCTCTTAAGCTCTTAGGGAACCCAAGGTCACAGCCAAAAGCTGACTTAAGATCCCAACAATGTGCTCCAAGCAAACTAATCTCAGGCAGGCAGGAGGCAGGCAGGGACTAAAGAGGTAATGTAATTTAGTTTCTTTCTAAGGTGGGCACCAGAGGCAGAGCCCAAGGCTATCCAGAGTTCCCGCACGTAGCAGACAGTAAGGCGCTGCCCTGCAGCCCTCACGTTGCCGAAGCACAGAAGCCCGCGGTCACACGCAGACTCACTCTTGGCGGTCATGGTGACGGTGATGTTGAAGGTGGGGGCTCCTCCGGTGCTCTTGGTACGAAGATCCATCGTAAACTCCCCGTCCTGCAGCAGCGAGTCCCGGATCACAGAGCATTTCTGGCCCCCAAGTGTCAGCCCATTCACGAAAATACCTGATCGGTCTTTGCTTACCAGGACACCAACCTCAGCTGGCTAGAAAAATCAATCACCTCGTTAGGTTAGTGCACAGGCTTAACTTGTCCTCCAAAAACCCACTTATTTACCCCGAAGTTGAGGGTGAAGGCGCTTCATAACCCCCATCAATGGTTGGGGGGGAGGGAGGAGCACTGTGGGCAGTGCAGAGAATGTTCATGATCCTAAAACCTAGGGGCCAGAGAGCAAAGGATAACGTTCTCCCTTAGACCCAGATCTCCGTGTGTAATACGGAAAGCAATGGAAGAAAATGCGGGGTACTGAAAACCAAAACCAATCAGTGATCGAAGGGAGCCTGGATGCTCAGAACAGTCCTTCAGGAAAAGCAGAAGCAGAGAGGGGAAGGGAGGGGTAGGGAGGGAGGGAGAAGCAACTTTGCCCTTATTTGGTCAAAGGTTCTGCAGGCGTCGCTGGGAGCCCGGACGCCTGGGTCTCCCGGTAGCCTCGCGCTGGGCCCAGGTACCTACGCCCCCAGATGCGGAAGCAGACCACTGGGGGCTCTCCACTTCAGTCAAGTTCTCAAGCGCGGGGCCGGGCGGTCTCCGAGCCCAGACAGCCCGGGAACCCTTCTTCTCCCCCCTTAAGCCCCAAACCCCTATATCCGGTGCCCTCCCGCCCGGAAATCCCCTTCCCCCCCATTCGAACTTCCGCTCCCCTCCCTACTTCCGGGCAGTGTGACCAGGGAAGGTGGCGATGGGGCCAGCGGGAGCCCTATTCCTCCGCTCGCGCGGTCTCAGAACTTCTCACAAAGTTCCCCTGCTCCGGGCCGGCCGGAAGGCGGGAAGGGAGGGCGAGGGGACTTCCGGGAGCGGCTCCCCGGAGCGCCGAGGCCGACGTGCCCGGCTGGGGGGTGTGTGGCGGCCTCGCCCTCTAACGGAGCGGGGAGGGCCGGCCGGGCCGGGGCGCGCGCGCGCGGCGCCCGCCACCCCGGGGACGAACAATGGCGGGGCGGCGCGGGCCCGGCCGGGGCAGCTCGGGGCGCCGG